TCAATATGTTATTCTCCTGACAGCACTATGCTTGCATCATGCAGCTACGATAGCTCTATTTATTTATGGGATGTTAAGTCTAGAGAATTAAAATAAAAATTAGAGGGTCATAACGGTACAGTATGGTCAATAAGCTTCTCCCCTGATGGCAGCACATTAGCATCTGGGGGTAGAGATAAATCTATTCGTTTATGGTATGTATAGACAGGGAAATAGAAAGCTTAACTAGAGGGCCACACATGTGGAGTTTTATCAGTAAGCTTTTCTCCTAATGGTACTACATTAGCATCTAGTAGTGGAGATAAATCTATTCGTATATGGGATGTTAATATTGTGCATGATAAATCTGGAGGATATGGTCATAGTAATTATGTTAGATCAGTCTGTTACTCTCCAGATGATACTTTATTAGCGTCTGGTAGTGGAGATAAGACGATCCGATTATGGGATGTTAAGACAGGGCAAGAAAGATAAATATTAAAAGGTCATTGTAGTGAAATCTTTTAAGTCTGTTTTTCTAAGGATGGAACTTTATTAGCATCTGGTAGTAGAGATAAATCTATCCGCTTATGGGATATTAAGACAGGGGAGGAAAAATATAGATTAGAAGGTCATAATGGTTATGTCTCAACAATAAGCTTTTCATTTGATGGAATAACCTTAGCATCTGGTAGTGGAGATAAGACTATCCGCTTATGGGATATTATTACAGGGAAAGAAATATAACGATTAGAGGGTCATAACGGTTATGTCTCTTCAGTATGTTTCTCACCTGATATATTTACATTAGCATCTTGTGGTGAGGATAAGTGTATTCGATTATGGAATGCAAAAACAGGTTAATAAGCATCATAATTTTTTGGACATACACATTAAGTTTATTCTATTTGCTTCTCTCCAAATGGTAATCTATTAGCATCTGGTAGTGATGATAAGTCAATCCGATTGTGGGATGTTAAGGAAGGATAACAAATATCAAAATTATAAGGTCATAGTGGAGGAGTTATTTCAGTGTGTTTCTCCCCTGATGGTACTACAATACTATCTGGAAGTGCAGACTAATCTATCCGTTTATGGGATGTGAAATCTGGGTAACAATAATCAAAATTAATCGGTCATAAATGTGGAGTCTATTCAGTATGCTTTTCATAAAAAGGTACAAATGTAGCATCTGGAAGTTATGATTAATCTATTCGAATATGGGAAACTATAAAGAGATTTGATAAAAAATAAATAAATAGTTTAAAAGTAAGTAGAAGTGAAAAAAAGACTAATTTCACAGATATTAACCAAAATATACATTTTAAGGCAGATTAATAAAAAGTCAAATTATATGATAATAATGATGATTTTCTATCATTCTCTTCTATTGGTACTACAAAAGCATTTGGTAATGAGGGTAACAACTCTATTTATTTAAGGGATGTTAAGACAGGATAATAAAAAGCCAAATTAGATGGTCATTCATCAGCAGTATGGTCAGTCAATTTCTCTCCTGATGGTACTACATTAGCATCTGGTAGTGATGATAACTCTATCCGTTTATGGGATGTTAAGACAGGATAATAAAAAGCCAAATTAGATGGTCATTCATCAACAGTTTATTCAGTCAATTTCTCTCCTGATGGTACTACATTAGCATCTGGTAGTTTGGATAACTCCATCCGTTTATGGGATGTTAAGACAGGATAATAAAAAGCCAAATTAGATGGTCATTCATCAACAGTTAATTCAGTCAATTTCTCTCCTGATGGTACTACATTAGCATCTGGTAGTTTGGATAACTCCATCCGTTTATGGGATGTTAAGACAGGATAATAAAAAGCCAAATTAGATGGTCATTCATCAACAGTTAATTCAGTCAATTTCTCTCCTGATGGTACTACATTAGCATCTGGTAGTTTGGATAACTCCATCCGTTTATGGGATGTTAAGACAGGATAATAAAAAGCCAAATTAGATGGTCATTCATCAACAGTTAATTCAGTCAATTTCTCTCCTGATGGTACTACATTAGCATCTGGTAGTTTGGATAACTCCATCCGTTTATGGGATGTTAAGACAGGATAATAAAAAGCCAAATTAGATGGTCATTCATCAACGGTTAATTCAGTCAATTTCTCTCCTGATGGTACTACATTAGCATCTGGTAGTTTGGATAACTCCATCCGTTTATGGGATGTTAAGACAGGATAATAAAAAGCCAAATTAGATGGTCATTCATCAACAGTTAATTCAGTCAATTTCTCTCCTGATGGTACTATATTATCATTTGGTTGTGGAGTTAAGTCGGTGGCTTCAGGTCCGTGCCCCAACAAATCGAACGGATAGATAAAAAGCTCAATTCAGATGATAATAGTAATGCTAGCTTATGCGATGTGAGATAAAGATAATACACCTAACCCTTATCAAATAAAACAAATTTGATAATTCAAGTTCCAATTTATAACAACAACGATAATTTAAAGAATCCAGATGGTATTTTTTTTGATTATTTTGAGTAAGCAACAATATGACTATTCTTCTTATATCTTCCTAATTAATATTCTAAATGTAAGGAGCAAAGATCTATCAAGGAAAATTTATAAGTCATTTGGGTATGGATTTAA